CTGGCTGGGGAATTCTGGGAGTTGAAGTCCACCCATCTTAAACTTGCCAAGGTTGAGAAACCCAACTGTATATTGTACTAGAAAACTCTCCTCTCTTTCTCCAAATTTGGACCCCAAAGTGATCCAATTCCAATTCCCAATCTGAGATAAAGGTTGGTAAATATATTTAAATTGCGATGGTGCATTTGAAGCTAAGCGCTCATCCAGGTCAAAGTAATTTTTTATAAGAAAAATGAAAATAATTGTCAGCCCTACCAGGTAGACCAGGAGAAGAATCAACTCCACAGGGAAGTTAAGACAACTTTTATTGAGAGCAACTACAATAACAGAATTTTGCAAGTCTGATTGTGCTACACCTTATCCCCTTTTAATACCCATGCAAATTAGGGAGGTGTCTATTCGAGTTGCTTCCATATACTTCCTGCTTGTTTTGGACTTAAGCTATGTTTTTCCCCTTGTCACTTTTGGTAATGGATCTGGCCTATATCTGTCAAAGTCATCTTCCCTATGCTCTACAACAATCTGTTATCTGTAGTTTGTTTGCTTGATTAACCAGGCTTATTTTTTCAGGAACTGACCGTATGAAAACAACTATTGGGAAACATGTATAAAAATGCAAACCATATTTGTGTTATTGTTTTTTTTAATTACAAGCAGACAGATGGGAACATGACAGAACAAGTGAAAATTGGAATCAGCCCTACAGCTGAAATAAATCAATCTGTTCATCTTGATCCTACAAACTCCACCCAACGCTTAGCTTTTATCCAGGGCTGCAGGAAGAGGCATTGAACGTGCCCACCAGCGATCGCTAAACTCAAATTCTCATTCTTTCTCCACCGCTGCTAGACATGAGAATTACTTCTCAGCCAGACTGATAAAGGGACTGATGGTTATCAAAAGTATGAGCAGATTCGGTTTTCGAGAAAAATGAAGCTTTCGCCCATTTCTCTTCCTTTCCATTGGGAGAGCCCTAAAAAGTGGGGAAAGATTTTGGCACTGGAATAGACTATATAAAGAGGCTTCATGTGAAAGTCAAACACTTGCTGGAATCCTTGTGTGGTAACTATAAACTTTCTTTCTGATAAATACAACTAATCATAACTTTTAAGGTTTGTTCTTTGGATTAAGACAGGGTTTCTCAGCCTCAGCAGGTTTAAGATGTGTGGACTTCAACTCCATATATCTTAAACCTGCTGAGGTTGAGAAACTCTGGATTAAGAGTTTGTTTCTAGAATTGTGAAGTAGGTCTGACATTGTCTTGGCTAGTGCTGAAGGAAATTGAAGACTATATATTATACACCCATCCAATAGTGAATCTCCTGAGAAACACAACTGAACACTAATTCTCATCATAACCACCTAGTGACAACATTAAGGAACAGACTACCCCACAGCCTATCCAGCTATTGTTGGAGGACACTGCTGGACATCAAAAAAATTAACTCAAGTGCTCTGAGCACCCGGAGAATGAACCTTTCCTGATCTTGTTTTGAAATACATACAATTGGTAGAAGGTCCAGAAGCTGGAAGCAAGATGGATCTAATGATCTAATGCATCTGATGAAGCATACATCTGATGAAGTGAGCTGCGGCTTGCAAAAATGTATTGCTTTTAATAAACTTTCTTAGCCTGAAAAGGTGCTACCAGACTCTTGATTTTTTGTATTGCTTTTAATAAACTTTCTTAGCCTGAAAAGGTGCTACCAGACTCTTGATTTTTGACCACCATGAGCATGACTACACAAAAATCAAGCAAGGAGTTTCCTAAGAAGGATGCCAGAAAGAGTTGGGATGAAGAGTCCAAACCACCTGGGAATGGTACTACCCACCCCAGAGTACAATCGAACTGGAGTTAAAGAATCCCATTGGCTGACAGTTGAG